GCTGGATAGAACAGGTGTAATTTACGCAGCTCATTTACACACTTTTCCTGAAGATAGAAGAGTTTGTTGAATCTGACATGACATGTTCGTACGAACCCTTTGTACGAACAAAAGTAAGAGAAATTTAGGATAAGAATACGAACATGTTCTTGCATGAGGCCCATTGTGCTGCTTCCCTCAGCCAGTGAGGTGTCCTGCGTGTTCCTTGTTGTTCCAGAGAGTTTTGCTGCACTGTCAGCTGTTTATTTAGGTTTTCTAAATAAACTCTTTATTTTGCACTTTGGATCCTGCCTGCACTCTGGGTCATTCTGCTAAACCTCACATGGATTTAATAACTAGTTGACAAATCACACCTGTAAACTGTACCAAAATGGGACAAAGATGAGGTTTTGACTCCTGTGTTTGTGCTTTTATCCCATACTTTTATGGTGCATCTGTTTTACATGAAAAATGTATTTGAAATTAAAAGYCTGAACATTTTATTTAGCATTAAACCAGAGCTCGGGCTACGCAAATGTCTTGACTTACAGAAAAGCACCAAACAAGGTCAAAACCAGAATGTTCTGATCAAATGTTTGCATCGTGCTCCACATAACCTGCTGGTTCTGTTTCCTGTAGAACCTCTCAGCGCTGTCACCCCTACCTGAGCCCAATGATTGGTCAGCGGTCATGGTCAACACCGACCTCTATCTGGGAACCATTCGCTCCTCCGTCAGCAACCTTGTTGACAAGTTCAACGAGGAACTTAAGCGACTGTATGGTAAAGGTGAGGCTATACTTTTTCTAAATAAACCTYAACATTTGTACATAATAGTCTAGTATGATTTATTTTTTTACATTAAAACATGGAAAAAAATATTTTAAGAGGATTATTTGGACTGTAGTTGTACCAAAAGCTGTGTTGTGTTGGTTCATTAACAAAGATTGTGCAATTTCACTGATTATTACCTGCCTGTTTGTTTGTTTGTTTGTTTATTTGTTTGTTTGTTTTATTTTTAGCAAAATATTTCAAGAATTATTAAACTAATCTGGACAACACCCTCAGAAAGAACAAATCGAGTCTAATAGCTTATCAACCCTAAACAATTAAATAAGCTTTAACTCAATCAATTACACAGAAATTTATCTAAAATTACTCTGAGCCCTAATTGATCATGCAAGATTTGTTTAAAAATTTAGCAATAAACCTTTTATCAAACTATTTTATAAACAATTAAAGTATCAAATCTGTAGGAAAGATTAAATAAATGTGTCTACAACAGATCGTCTTTTTAAAGGATCTAAATTCATGATGGCCACTACAGCTAATTCACCTTAGAAAACACAAAATGGCTAAAACACACTTCGAGAGTCACTCCCAACTCTGTGTGAGTGCTAACAAATTGTAGGGCTGCTGTTTAAAAGGCGACTTGGACTAAAAATAACAGGGAAGGTTTGTCACATATTGCTTCAAACAGCTTTGAAAAAGTCGTGTGGCTTTTCTAAAGTCACATTTTAATAGTTGAATCTAAATTTTAAAGCTAAACATAAACCTAAAAGTTTTGCGAAAACTAAATAATTAGCTAATATGCAATTTCACATTTGGATGTACCAAAATAAAAGTGTGACTGTGTTGCTAAAATAAAAATAACATCTTATAAAGAAACTTACTGGGAGAATAAATACATTATCCTGACAGTTAATATCAGAAAACATATAGATTTATACATCTTTAACCACAGCTGAGCGTTTAGCGTCATACTTCCTGATACAAGCAGAGTGAATTTGTATGTTAACTAAATATTTAGTTTCAACAAAACATTTAGCAGRACAGATTGCTTGAGATCTTTATTTAAATATTTTTCTATACTGGAAGATACAGTAGTTGGTGGTCCAGTAATATGTTATTGATGCAAAGTGTCCAAACTAATTTTAAAAATCAGCTTATCTGTGTAAAACTACAGGAAACACATTTTCCCTTTGTCCAATCACAAAAACATGTTCTATGGTCACTGAACTCGCTTTCTGAATTAAAGTGTGATTCATTGTTTCGTCATTACTCTGACATATCTGAACAGACAGAGATGGTGTTGATGCTCCAGCTTGGACTCAGCTGAGCCACAGCAGCTGAACATTTGCAGCTCCAGACTCCTGCTGCATGTTTAACACCAGCACCGACTGAGTGCTTTGGCTTTTCTTTATCTGCCGAGTGTCCTTGTAACTATTTCCGTTTCCTTTCTTTTTCTCAGAGCTACGAAAGTTGCAGAACTATGCCAGTAAGTCATGCCTTTTATTGTTTCCTTTTTGTGCGTTTTTTTCTGGTGCATGGCAGGTTTTTAAGTTAAAGTTTAACATTATGTTCAGTTCTCATAAATATCCACGAGATGGCGCCACCTCTTTGTTGCAGATGCAAAGTTATTCCACTGTCTGAGCTCAGGTTTCAGTCGAGAACAAGGCCTTCTTTCAATTCTAGAGTTTTATGCATCGGTACATAATATAACTGATCTGGTCTTTACCAGGTTATAAAATTAGTCAAACCTAACTTTAAGCATAGGAAAAACACACAACTCATTTCTCCATGTAATTATTTAAACAACAACAGAACCAAATTGGAAAAGCTGTGTGTGGAACCTTAAGTCTGTAGCTTGTAGATCCTCCTTTAACAACAAAAACTCTAAACAGACATTTCTGTTCAACTTTATCAGTCTCTCATATTTTGGAGGGATGTTGGCCCGTTCTTCTTTACGAAGTTACTTCAGTTCATTCATCTCCTAAAATCCCACTACCTCGTTTCAACCAGCCTGAGGTCTGGGCTTTGAATGGACTGCTGCAACTCCTTGATTCTTTTCTTTTTTCGCCTTTTTGTTGTAGATCAGCTGCTGCATTTGGGATCGTTGTTCTGTTGCGTCATGACCAAGTTTAATCCGAGCAGTTCTCACATTTGACTCAATAACAGTCAAAAACCGTAAAGGCTAATTTATATCTCCAATCTCGCGTCTCGCAAAAAATGCATAGTTTCCATGTGTTACCTCCCCTATTTACACCCCATCTTGTGCAATAATGTTTGCAGTGTGTGAAAAAAGAAAACAGTAAGTAGGTGTGTTCTTCTTTAGTGAAATGTTTCGTCTCTCGTCCAAGAGACTTTCTCAGTCTGATGAGTTTCAGGTGAAACTCAGCCTTATAAGCACTGCCTCCACATGGACAAACAGGTTAGTCACATGCAAAAGAGGGCCATCGCCTAACAATAGGCTTGATTAGCTCTATTGTTCATAGAGGATCATAAGAGAGATAGAGCTAATCAAGAAACAATAGAAAATAAAACAATAGAACTAATCAAGCCTATTGTTAGACGGTGGCCCTCTTTTGCATGTGACCAACCTGTTTGTCCATGTGGAGGCAGTGCTTATAAGGCTGAGTTTCACCTGAAACTCATC